TCATTAACTAGGACACAAAAATCATTACATAATAAAGAGACATATATAACAACATATTTAAGAACTTCTGTTTGTCAGGAGAGACTGAAGATAAACCACAATCTATAACAGACATATGGATTGATATATTGGTGAATATATGAAGATCGCCAACAAATTCATAAGAAAAATATAATTCAATGGAAAACTGGGCAAAATGCATGAACAAGTTTTTCATAGGGAAGGAAATATGAATGAACACACACATATGAAAATATGCTCAACCGCATTATTAGGAAAATTCAAATTTAAACCACAAAAACGCCATTTCTCATCCACCACAATGGCTATAATTAAAATTTTGTAGTATCAGGTTGGCCATAATATGGAGCAAAATTAACAATCTACTGTGGGTGGAGTGTAAATTGGTACAATTACTCTTGAAAAAAAAATTGGCATTACCCAATAAAGTTTAACATGTGTATGATAAACAACCCAGCAGTTCCAATTCAGATAAATACAAGGTAGAAACACCAAATCAGGGGCCATCTATAACATTACTTGTAATACGGAGAAAAAATAGAAATACTGTAAAGGTTCAACAGTAGAGCGTATAAATACACCACAGAATATCCAATGAAACACAATGAAATACCGTCCATCAGTGCAAACAAGTGCACTGCTTAGTTAGGAAAGTAACACGGAGGAATCTCACCAAGTGGTGAGTGGGAGAAAGCAAGTCACAGTGAAGCATGTAAAAGTCTACTTTATAGTTCAAAAGCACACAATTTGTTAGAGTAGATTCCTCCATGTTGGCTCACTTTCAGGCCCCGCATAGATGCAGGACGACTGCAGCAGCTCTTGCCTCTAAATCCTCTTTTGGCGGTGTCTAGTTGAAGCAGGAAAGGGTCTGTTTCCCTAGTCATTTTAACCAAGTACCATAAGTTAGGTCTCATTGTCCCTGATTGGTGGCTTGAGCTAACATGCCTATCTATGAACCAATCACAGTAATCGGGGTGAAACATGATGAATGGCTTAGCCTAATGTCATTTAGAGCTCATGGACTGGGAGTAGGGAAAAGGAGAGGAAAAGGCTGGTATAGGGGCCAGAAGGAGAGTAGATAGACATTGGTTGGGCTTCTAAAATAACAAATATTATTCTGCCCACTTTCAGCAGCCAGTTTAAGGAGGTTTGTATTACACTAGCTGTTGTCGCTTGCTTATTTATGGTCTAGGAAGTAAATGAGGCAGCTCAAAAGACAGGTAGAAGGAAGAAAGTGTTTTTTATGTTGCAGTGGACCTAGAGTCACAATACCTAGTGTTCTCCAATCAGAATGGACAGATGTGAAGTGGCACTGCAGGGTGGCAGGTATGGGGCAGCCCTCATCCAAACACAGAGTCTTTGGGATTTACATGATCAAATTGTGCATCCCCTCAAAAATACTTGCTTTCTTTTTGTCTACCTGACCATCTCTGTTACTGATTTAAAGACTACTTTTAGATACTTATGGGAGCAACATTGGGATATTTGTCCTTTTTTGGCAATAGTTACCCTTGATGACCTTACAGTTCACACTGGTCTGAAGTCCTTTGATTTCTGGTAGCCCCTTATGTGGATTTCTGCCCTCACCTGGTTTCTTCTATAAAGTCCAAGTTCTTTACCCAAGAAATGAAGGTAACAAATTTTGTGCTTATGAACAAATCTTTGGGGGGCTCCTGTATTTCAAATAATTGACATTTTTGGGAAAATATTTATAATTTGGATTTTGCACAGTTATCATAAGTAGAGGTGTTTTTATCAGACATGACTTTTAAATCATTCTTTGTCTAAACAACACCTAATTCAGACCATTAAAAGCTGTTTTATCTGGTCCTTGGGTGTGCTGTTCCTTCAAAGCTAACAGGCTTTTTATTTTGTCCTACATATAAAAAGCAAAGTTGGTCCCTTTTGTGGGTAATTTTCATTAATATTCATTCTGGAATAACTAGAATTGATCCCATATTTAATGTCAGGCATACAAAGCTTTTAGTCTCTCTTTGTACTCTATTGCATAAATTAAAAATAAGCTTATTTTAGATACTGTAGTTAAAGGACGTGGTGACGTATTGGTCTTATGTGCCCTTTTTACAAAACCAACGCTGACATTTTATTTATTTTTATCCTCAAACTCACATTAGTTGTGTTTTGCCTACATAACTTATTTTAAACATCACCTTGCACATACTCCAGACTATAAGTTTAGCATTGTTCTCTGGCCAAAAGCAATGAAATGTGACCTATTTTACCATGATTCAGTGAAGCGCAATCAGCAATTTCTTTTCACAAATATAACATCAATGGCCATTTATAACATTCCCCCAACCTTCAAAAGTGGAATGAAATGGTTTCTTTTTTCTTTTCTTTTACCTAAAATTCTGTTTGTATTTAATGTTTTCAGTATAACATATTAGTGGATTTTGCACTGAAGGTCAGATAGTCAAATATTCTTAATGTCGTCCCCCCCCCCCAAATATCCTATGTTGAATTTATAGAACAGCCTACAAGGTCCTCAAGTATTCACCTATAAATAAGCATCACCGGTTGTAAAAACTCTCTTGCTATTATCATATTCCTGTAACGGTAGTTCACCTTCTACAGACCAAAAATATAAATTCATTGGTTTACCTCATATTGAATTTCCTGTCTAGATGATGCTTTCCCCCCCTTTTTAAAAAAGTACATTTGTATTTTTCATCATTTCTCATGAGGAAAGCATTATCCTAAAGATTGCTTTAAATGTTTTCTATATAGATCTTTCACTATAAGCATAATTGTGTTGACTACAATCTATTTTCAGACTGTCTCCATTTTCATTTGTTTGTAACTGGTCATTGCTGCCACTGGACAAAAACCATTGCTTTTTACATATTGTTTTCTCACATCATCTACTGGCACCTTTACTACTTCCAGTAGAGTATTTTTTAGACATTTCTCTTGAGTTTTCTAGGTCTTCAACCTTGTCACATGCTGATGGTTGTAATTTAGTTTGTCCTTTTCCTCTCACTATTGCATTGTGAGCATCTTTTATTTTATTCCTGACTTTTTAATAAACATGTTATCTGTTGGTTTTATCTTTTTAAAAATCACGGTAAATGATCTTTCTATTTATAGGTGACTAAGAGGTCATCAGGCATTGGAGCTGAGTTTATCACATGTCATTTTGGCATCTTTGAAAATATGAATGTGTTGATTTCTTGTGACCTATTGTTAGAGCACAATAGATCTATGTATAGAGTATTTCTAGAATAAGCCTAATTTATATTATTGTGTCATTATTTTTAATATACTAGAAACTGAGTTTTCTGAACACTTTATTTAGTATTCTATCTTATTTAAGTCAAACAAGCCTTTTACTTGTTTTTTTTTCCCTCTGTTTCTTATCAGGTTTGATTATCAGACTGTTAATCCAATTTATTCATGAAACAAATTGGAAGCCTCATTTGTTTCATATACTGAAAGCTTTTTATGTAGGTTGTGAATTATCTAATCCTTGAAGTAAACCACATTTGTTAGTTTTTCAGCTTTTTAAATTTTGGTTTAGTTTTAATAATTAAATGCCACCTTAGAAAACTGTTTCTATTAAGATGTTCAAATTTATTTGCAAAGATATTTTTATATAGCACTCTTAGTTTTTAAATCTCTTCCATGTCTGTGATATTTTCCTCTAATAATTCTATTTTTGTGTCTGATTTGAAGACTAGATTGCCTGAAATCTGTCTATGAGGTATTTCATTCTGTAATGAACCAGTTACTGCTTTTTAAATACCTAAATCATAAATTCCTGCTTTTAGTTTTATTTCTGCCTTCCCTATATTTGTTGCTATTTTTGAATTTAACTGAATTTAAATCCTTAGTTCATTTCTTTGTTTTCTCCAATTAAAAAAAAGGTAATAGTGTCACAAGTGAAACTGCATGTTTTACTCCCCATATACAAAATGCAATTGGTTCACTTTTACTGTCTACCCCCACTCATTTCTCTATTTTTGATAACATGGTCTAGAATTTCAGACTTAATGGAGGTAGGTATTATAGTAAAGGTTTTTATTAGATATTTTTTCAAAAATTTTGAAAGTTTGCCCTTGATTTGAACTATTTCTAGAATAATTAGCATACTTTATTTCTTCTTTACCTGCTTTTAATGCTCTCCACCAGCACTACTACATGACCACTTTTTCACTCGTAACTTTTTATTTTGATTCACCCCTCAGTCAACTGGAATATTTTCAAGTAACTTTTTTTAATGAAGATAGTCAGCTGAAAAATTTCTAGGCACACTTGTTTTTCCTTTAAAACTCTACCAACATTAAAATGTCTGTGGTTCTTTCTTTTCAAAAATATTGACCAGAAAAACAGCAACCCCAAATTTTACCAGATGTAAGCTTGAACGCCCACCTCCCTTCCCCCGCTATTTACAAAGATGGAAAGTGAGAGGAATCAATGGGATACAGCCATGGAGAGGAACTGAGGGATAGAGTGACCACGCCTTCATAAAGTTGTTCCCATCCTGTGGAGGACTTGTGTTTTGGAGATAGAGATACTATGGTTGAGACTGAGTGAAAGCTTCCATTCTCTTTCCACTTCTCAGGGTTTCATCTCTCCTCTGGGTAGAAGAAATTCTTCCTGGCTTCTAGCAAGTCATTAAACCTAGTTTTTAAGTGCTATTGGAAGTTGAAGTCTCTTTTGATTTTCCTGAGTATTTCAAGGAAAGGAGGAAATCAAAGATGTGATGTCAGTAATTTTCTAAGATCACATCCTGTAAGTTTTTTTGTTTTTTTAATTAAATTGTTATGATTATGGCATAGGTTTATTATAGACCAGAAACACAGATATGTCATTTTCTGGGAAAATTCTGGACTTTTTGCATCCAGTCTTCCATTTGCTATTTAAAATTAGCCCTGATTTTCATCCATGTTCCACTAAAAAAATTTTGCAAAAGTGACATTTAAGTAAAAAGCAACTTATTTTTTGTGTTTCTACTACAGGTGAAGACGGATGTTAGGAGTCTGTGGGTGAAGACACTGGAAAAGCTTCAGCTATAAAAGTGAGATGTTTTCTTTTTTCTTCTTTTTTTTTTTTGCCATTGAGTATGAACATGACAAAAGATTAATATATTCATAGTTTCAGTTTGTTAGGAATTATTATATAAGTACAATGTAGGCAGAGTTTTACTTGCTTTTAATTATTTTGTAAGAATAACAAATACTCTAAAACTACAGGATGAAATATGAAAGAAAATACATACTTCAAAATACATACATGAAGAATAAAAATGGAGTCATAGTGTGACCCAATTTGTAGTCATTTCTTCCAGCTGGCCTTCTGTTTTAATGAGATAGTCAGTCTTTTAGGTGATATTTTAAATGCTTCTCATTGGCCAAAAAAGCTCTTCTTGTCCTTTTTAACTTCATTTTCTTCAAGATTTACAATCTCAATCCACTTTTGTGATGGTAGTATTTGAAAAGCTACAATGAATGATAAAAGGCAACTATTTTACTCTGTTTCTTTCCTAAGTACTTTAATTTATTATACTATGACCACATTATAAGCTATTTGTTGAGATCTGAAATGTTGAACTAACATTGCTCAATTACATATCAAATGCTTACTAGAACAATAGGAATATATGAAGAAATTCAGTCTGGTAAGCATAGCATTATCACTTTTACTCAAGTTTATATTTTCAATTTCACATCAGGTCTTTTTTTTTTAACCAAACAGTACTATAAGACAAAATTAAAAGCAGTAAGTGTGACAATCAGTTAGAGCTTTGTTGCCTTTAACAAATTAATAATGCTTTATTGAAATCATAAATGTTTGATACACTGCATTATTCTTAAAGTACTCAGAGTTATTACAAAGACAAATGGTATTTTAATGGAATAAAGATGACTTTGCTTGTGTCAGAGTTCAGAGTTCATTGGTGTTTGGTTAACTGGCAAAACAATGGTTTTCTTACTACAAATCTTCGTTGCTGGCAAGAAAGTCCCAGACGATTTTTTTCCCTAACTTATGACTAGAATACTAAGTAGCTTAAATATTAAGAGTCTGTGGTTCAGAGTTGACTTACTCATTAGGAACATTGCCAAGGATCTGTGATACTTCCAGTGGCCACAAAAATGTTTTAATTTTAATGTCTTTTAAAAACAGGGAAAAAAATGAATATAGTAATAGTGAATATATAACAATGATCCCAGCCTGGAGTATATTTTTCATTATACTAATGTAGTCATAAAATACAATTTTTAATATTTTTTTATGGAGGAAGAAACCAAAGTGTACAGCCCAAGAAAGTCATCAGGGGCCCCTACCTGGGTCACAGTCAAGTATGCTGTACATGTGTGGCAGATTCAGCCATTTGAATGCTGTTTTTTGTTTTATTTTCAGGGAGTAATAATTTCTTTGTCATAAATGAATATATTCTCTGTAAGTGAGTTTATAGATTTGTCTGTTCATCAGAGGGAAGCAATGGTTCTATCTACAAAGAAAGAAATGACATGCTGTTAGGTTAGATAGCTGTGGTTATTCATTCTGTTTTCCTAGAATAAAATTTAAAAATTTCTTCCTTGAGAGGCCCATTGATATTCTGTTTGTTTCGTAACATGATACAGAAAATAAGGGAAGTGGAAGCCAGACTTGCCTCAGGATTCTTTGGTCCCCTTTTGGACATGCGTTTTTGCCTGAGGGGTGTTTGATCTGTGAGGAGAATGGCTTACCCTGCCCTCTCGCTGCTGTGGGAGTCCAGAATTTTTGTTCTTCCATGGTTGCTGAGTATGCCACATTTTCAAGTACTGTGACTGGTCTGGTTGTGTTTGTTTCTGAAACCATGATCCAGGTTTGGAGAAAATATTTTTGTTTGCCTTCAGCAGCCATGACCATAAACCTGTGCACAGAATATCTTCTGAAAGTCACTTGTTGATTTAAAGTGAAGTGTGTTGTGTGTCTGAGGAACTTCTTTATCAAAATAGGTGCCCACTCAAATATAAACTGCCTGAGAGCCAGGATCTTTGTATGTTGTGTTTGTTGCTATATACTCCAGAAAAAGCCAGCCGTATAAGAGAAACTCAAATGTTTGCTGAAAGAATGAATGAGCTGACTTCCGCCTTTAGAAGAGTCATGTTTCCTCCCCTCCCCTTTCCCAGGTACCAAAGCTCCAGGCCTCTGGTTTGAGGGAATAATGGTGGAGACCACCAGGCACTGGAAGGGCCACATCCTCAGGGCTTGAGGGGTGACCCTGTGCTGATCAGCCCCCATCTGGGGACTCAGTTTACCCTTTCACAAAAAAACAGACAGTTGGGCTAGAAGGAACCTTTTTAGTCTTCTAGAACTAATTAAAACAACAACAAAAAAGGTATTCTAATAACCTCCTCCACCTTGGTGGTCCCCTTGGCTCCTACCCCCCCCCACCCCCGCCCACTTGCGCCATGCTGGGCTCAGGCTGGTTCAGGCTACCCGCAAGCTGCCTCTTCCCAGGACCCCTCCCAAGGAAAATGTACCCTGTATTTCTAAAACATTTATTTTCAATGTAAATGTGTTCTATTAAATTGATAAACACTTCCCCACCCCCAGAAAGAAAAGCCATTTTAGATCTCAAAAGTGTTCTGAAATTGTTTGGGGTATATAAGTGAACTGCCAACCCTCTAGTTGTCAGACTGGCAAGTGTCTGGGCATGTATGCAAAAATACATTTGGTATATCAACATAAAATAGTAACCTACCAGTCATTACCCACATACTGTATAGAGAGCTGTCCTAGGGAAGCACACCAGGATATGCCATTGGGCACCACTTAATCAAATTAAGCTAGGAAAGTAAGAGAATTCTAGAGAGAAATGCCACTCTTTCCAGCTACGGAAGACCTGAGTCTAGGGGTGTAAACAGAAGGAATCAACTGATCTTAATTAGTAATACTTGATTAGGTGATCCTGATTTGCAGAAACTTTTGAAAAATCAGAGCCTATTTTGCACAGTTTGTTGACCCTAGCAGAACCAGAATGCATTTTCTGTTGGTATGGTGTGTGTGTGTGTGTGTGTGTGTGTGTGTGTGTGTGTGTGTGTGTGTGTGTGTGTATGAGAGAGAGAGAGAGAGAGAGACAGAGAGAGACAGAGAGAGACAGAGAGAGACAGAGAGAGAAAGTTTCAAGGCTACATTTTTTAAATACTAGCAAAAAATATATATGCATATATGCACATTCAGGTGAACCTAATTTTTTTCTGAATATACTTGTCCCTACATTTTATTCTCAGTGTCTTCTTGTCCAGGGTTTCACCTGCCCCAGTTTTTTTTATGACAGTGTGTCAGGGAGAAGCTGCTGTCAGAAGTACACAGCACAGAGCTGCCCGACAAGGAGAAAAATGCCAACTTAATGTTCCAGGCACTGGGGTTCTCGAGGCATCCTGATAGTTACTGTTCTTGCTAGCAGATTCCACTGTCGATTGAGAGAACAGGAAAATGGGGTGCTTTTAGTGAAGATGACAAAGATTGGGAATGGTATGTTTCCCATCCCGGATTTGTCATGACTGAGCACTGCTATAACGGTGCCTTGTGGCTCTACTGTGTGGTCCCACTCTTCTCTAGAGGGTAAGCGTCACTCTAGTTTCTTGCATCCCTATCTGAAGACTCTTACTGCCCTTTTCATGAGCCATTGCAGGAGGTCCTTATGCTGAGCCTATCCTGGGGCTGTAGCTGCTTCTGTGACACCTTAAAAGTGTGTAGTCTTGAAGCTGAAGCCTTCATGGGATTGTAGTATTGTGATTTAGTACCCCTAAGTCTTACAAGCAATGTGGTAAAGGTAAGCTCAGGGAGGAATTAACATGTACAGCTCTTCGTGTGAATTATAGGTGACCTTGCCACTGTGTTCCCAGAGCCCTTTAAGTGCCCTACTTAGGGCTGATAGATTTGTTGGAAGGCAGCTAATAGAATTAGTGGCGACAGCATAAATGATTCACATTGTGCATAAATAACTTGTTGTATTGAGCTAGACAGTGCTAATAATATAGCCATCAGCACAATTCCTGTCACAGTGCCAGAGGACAGGGACTTAATGTAGTGTGGGATCTTTGAAAAATCATTGAGATGCTTTCCTTCCGTTTCTTCTGTTGCAAAATCTCCTGATTATTTCTTGATATGGGGGTGTCATGAAAATGATTTGTTTAAATGTATGAATTGTGATCAAACAATATGGTGAATGTTTAAATTAAAAAAAAAAACTATTACAGAAAAAGACACATACCATTAATCCCCCTCAAAATACTTCCTCTCACTTTGAACACACTTATCTCATTCTTGCCCCTTTCTGAAGCAGTTCTGGAAGTCCTTTTTTGTGAGTGTCTTTAGTTGTGCTGTCGTGGCTGCCTCCATGTCCTGAATCATTTTGATTTGGGGGAAGAGCCAGAAGTTGCACAGTACCATATCTGGGGAATAAGGTGGATGAGGACACACCATAATTTTTTTATTTGATAGAAATTGCCATGCACCAGAAGCGATGTATGACATGAGGCATTGTCATGATGGAGGATGATTTGCGGCAGGCACACTTTAAAACACACCTTCTCTCAACCATACCTCACATCCGATTGACTGCACCAAACAAGTTGAAACTTGTCACACACTGCTACTAAGGTTCAATGTGCTGCTTCCCTTATTGAAGATCCCTGCCTTTCCATTGGATGGCACTTGGCAGCAGCATTCACTGTATTTTGTGATCACAATGGAAAGGCTCTGTATCATATATCACTTCTGGTACAGCAATTTCTGTCAAATAAAAACATTACGGTGTGTCCTCATCCACCTTATTCACTGGATCTGGCACCGTGTGACTTCTGGCTCTTCCCCAAAGTCAAAATGACCATGAAAGGTAAATGTTTTGAATCAATTAAGGACATTGAGGCAGCCATGACAGCGCAACTAAAGACACTTATGAAAAAGGACTTCCAGAACTGCTTCAGAAAGTGGCAAAAATGATGGGATAAGTGTGTTCAAAGCGAGGGAGAGTATTTTGAGGGGAACTAATGGTAATGTGTCTTTTACTATAATAAATTTTTT